GTTAGTAATGTTTTGAGATCACAGTTTAAAAACATGGAGAAATAAATCGAGAACCGAGCGCACTTTTTTGTGCGCAATAAATACACAGTTTTTTCAATGGGTGGCACTGTAGCTCTCCGATCTATCAATATATTTTTTCGGAGAGCTACAGATCTGCAGCTAGGCAAGGGAGATAACTTTCTGATGATGTAATTTTCGTACGACTTAACAATTTTGCAAGATTTTCAATCTTAAAAAAAAATGACAAAACGAACAACAAAATCAGCAGTAATTAATTCCTAATAACATGATTTTTGTATAGCAAAAAATAAAAAAATCTCTTTAACTTCATTATAAATAAAATTTGATTTTTATTGCTTGCAGGCTTTACAATTTGTTATTATTCTTTTCCCCTTTCTTGTTTGAAGAAGGAAATGGAATCCGAGGTTTGCCGAAAGCTCTCGGCGAGTCAAAGTTTACGGAGATGACCGAGCGACAACCGTGGTAGGGCTAATGCCAGTAAAAAGCTAATGTAGAAATATAAAATCAAGAAATTCAAAAGAATTATACGGCCTGATAGGTGTAGATCAGTTTACAGTTTAAGTTTGTTGCTAAAGACGGGAAGCTTTTTAAAAAAGCTCTACTTGTGATTTCTACATCATTGTTTTTTATATGTTATAAATATAAGTACATCAAAAATTGTGATAAAGGACATTTAGATGATTACCCATATGGGATATTTAAGAAATATCACCCTGTGGTATCTTGTCCAAATGCCTGGTAACTAGTGGTAAGGTATCCTAATTTTTTGTGAGGAGACTTGTTTAAGTAACTAGACTTCAATGACAAAGTCTTGAGGAAAATTATGTATTTTTGAGGAACGTTTCGTCTGACCTTAAATGTCCAAAGTACATGTATGTCTCTAAAGAAATCATTTTAGAAAAGAATGCCTGCAAATTTAAAAAATAAGTCACCGTAACCTATTTTCGAGTAAAAATGTTATATGGTCCCAAGATGCATCAACTGAACACATTTGAAAATCCCACTCCTTTTAGACAGCAAAATATCAAAGTTTTAACAAAACATAGTTTTTGGCCAACTTTGAAGTGACATTGAGTCCACGCCTTTTAACCCAGGGTGACGCCTTGAATGTTTTTTAACCTACAAAATATCCCCGTCCTTGTTAGATTTGGTGATGATCTGTCCAGATGTTCTTGAGAAGATTTTTAGCAACCAGTACTTTTGTTTTTATTTTCCCAATTATCTAGCCTTGTTTAAGGGACACATCCTGCTTTCTTATCATGAAGAAATCTCTTGGACCAAAGATACTCTGAGACAAATTTTATGCACACCACACAAATGACCATGAACCCGTGGTTCAAAAAGCTTATCAATCACGGCTTTGCTGTCCTCTAGAAGAAGTTTTTTTTCTTAGTTTTTATTTGAAATTGGATTGCTTATTGAGACACTATCCGACCTCGGAAGGAGTGTCATGTTTTGAATAGACTAGAATCAAAACTATCAGAGGATGCTTCAATTAGTAATATGACTATCCTTGGCTTTTCTTCAGATGTAAGAATTCCTGTCAAATCCAACAAATGCCTCAAAATCCTGTCAAATAAACTTGAATGTACACTAGCCGAGAAAGGTTCTACATTTGGTTCCATCTCTTGAAAAAAATCGTGTGAATTGTAAAACTTAAATTACCTCTTATCTCCACTCTGTCCCCAAAGTTAATGACCTGAACACTACTTGAGGAAGTTTCCATATAAATAATTCAAGGGCGGATTCAGGGGGGTTTGGGGGGGTTCGGGAAAACCCCCCCGCTCATTGAATTTTTTTTTTTTACAAGTGTCATTTTATCATTTTATTGCATTGATAAGACTCTAATATACACGAATCCATTGTTCTGTACAACTGTGAAATATACTTCAGCCACGTAACAGGAAATCACTTTCCGCTTGAACGCACACAATACACAGGTAATCAACAGAGAGAGGGGTAATCCGTGAATCTAGTGAAGTCACAAGATCATCGTGCAGTACAATGTAGTCAAGTATCAACAACAGAAAACTGCATAGTTACGGTGCTGCTCAGTAATATCCCTTTGCTGATAAAATGCAAGTTTTTTTTTTAATTAACTATTTGAATAAACTATTATATATAGGGTTTTTTATTTACCGTTTTAAAAATTAAATTAATACATTTTTTTTACATCATATTGACAGTATACATGGTATACTCAAGTAAATTGAAAAGCACTAATTAGGAATTCTGAAAAGAATCCAATGTTTGATTTTTTGAAAGTGTTTAAAATTGCACATCAGTTGTATCTAATTAATATGACTAATCGTAAGAGGTTCAATTTTACGCTAGCCGAGAAAGGCTCCATATTTGGTTAATCTTTTCTGGCCCACTGGGGTTCAAATTGCCCCACCATATTTTCACTATTTCTTAATTTTATATCTTTGGAAGAGTGTTGCCCTTCATTTAAAGACACTTACCGGTAAATTACCAGTACCAAAAAATACTCTGTGCCAAGTTTGGTTGAAATTGGACATGTGGTTCTGAAGAAGATGAAAATGTGATGTTTACACCAACGTTGTTAACGACAAACAACGGACAATTTTGACGAGAGAAATTCACTTGGCTGAAAGATGATCCCAAAAACTGCATTAGGTAGAGAAGTGGCAGATAAATTTTAAATATTACAGGTGGTTTGAATATTAGGATTATTTGGGCGAAAGATGTAAAAATACCATTTATTATAGCTAGGTACTCTTCGTCGCCACTTTCTGCTCTCGTCTGCTCCTGTTCCGTTGGCTTTAAATAAATCTGAATGGAGTTTGAAGATCGCTTTTTCCTCAGATGACTGATCGTTGGTTTCCTCTTAACGATTTTGAGACTTGTAAGCCTAGTAGCGGTGAATGCTTTATATCTGGAATAACATCAAAGAACGTATTCTACGCCGAGAAACTGCAGTCTTACTTACACTCCAATCATTGATTGACAAAGCAGTTGTAAGGCTTCAAGGAGCACACGACACAGGGACTCTTTTAACTGAGCAGGCTAATCAGAATTAACAGAACAAGTATCTGTTATATTGAAAAATGTACCAGCATTCTGAAGTGCAGCTGTAATTTTCTCTCGTGTACATTAGTGACTTTACTGATGATGTGTCTTTGGGAATGCAGTGTTTTTCTTCCTGATCCTTATTTTCTTGTAGCACATATATACGTAAATAAGGCAGATATGGCATTTTTTTATGTTTACTTTGACCTTTGACGCTGTTTTTAAATGAGAAAAAAGCACGTATGCCGAAAATGACAAATTCGACTAACTTTGTACACGTTGAATTATTTGTACAAATTCTCTGTTAACCTTGAACTTTCAATAAGGCGTGGCATTCTCGACGTTACATAATCAACGTCTGACGTTTACACAGCCTTTCATTCACTGTTGAAATACATGGGATAGAAATGCGGTGAATGTCAACAAGTGTAGCAATGATCCAATGACTTTTTTCGTACGGCAAAGAGGTGGGGCTTAAGTCGTCTCATCGTTGTCAACAACAATTTAAAGTTGCTATTGTTATTAATTTTTTAACCAATGAGAATCTATTCGCCATTTGAGAGACGTTAATTACGTAGCGTCGAGAATGCTACGCCTTACTGAAAGTCCAAGGATGACAGAGAATTGTATTATTGGTTTTAAAAGCTTTCTCGCTGAACTTGACCTTTGCCCTTGAAATTTGTAATAAAACAGGGTGTTATTCAGTTTAAAATGACCCGATGTGATTGTATCATTTAAATTCACACGCAGGTGCGAAAGTAGGATTAGTTTAAATTTATCACTACGTGTTTGTTTATCACCATTGGCGGTCACCTTGACATTTTTTACCAAACTTTGTAATTTAATTACATCTGTCTCTTCGTGGATGACGTTTTTGTATTTAACTTAGTTGCATAAGAATGATTTTGGTTCCAATAAACATGTATCCATATCTATGGACAATGTCCTTAAAAGTGAACTTGAGAGAAAATAATATATTTTATATTTAAGTGTCTAAGACAATTCTTGATAATATTTATCTACAAAATTTATAGCTGCAGAACTGTAGCTCTCCGAAAAAATATATTGACAGACAATATAATTTTCCGGAGAGCTACAGATTTGCAGCTACAAAATTTAATGTTGAAAAGCTTGACCTTTGAAAAGATAAATGATGTGTCGGGCCGTTGTATTGTTCTATAATTTATGCAGTGACACACCTCGGCCGATCTGGGCCTCATTAATGAAGGCGACGAAATCACCCAAGGTTTTCGAATGTATTTCTTGGCAAAGGGGTCGGTGACATTCTATGTTTGATTTTACCTAGTCACACTAATGCTTACGTAAAGTTAAATATAGTATGTTACCGGCCCCTGTGTTTCTTGGTATAGATTTCACTGATACGCTCGAAAAATCTTGACTGACTAAAAGTAAACATCTGGGGCAAACATTTCGTTTGCTTATCTCACTGATTACATATACCCCAAAGCAGTTCAGATCAAACCTACACAACTACTCTTTATAATCTAGGAATATTAGCACAAACCAAAATTTTCTATGAAAAACTCTCAGAAGAGCATGGCTCGTTCTCAGTCTGTTCTTGATATATATACTAGGCAGAGATTTTTATGCCATTTACGAAACCGATATTCTTTCTTGACTTCATCATGTTCATGTTTCTAAATGAATTTAATCATGGCGACATAAATATTGCAGTCCATGCAAATAATTCTACAAGGAAGGGAAAACATGTTTTTCATAGGGTTTTCACAGCTCTCTCATACGAGCCACTGCATATACGTAGGTTACACAACAATGATGGTGAATTGTATTATATATTTATATATACTTTATACATTGTAGAAAATTTGGAATAGATAGCAAAAGTCTGAATTCAAGTTAATTTTCCCTGATCCGCGTCTTGTTTCAGTAGCGCTTGTGTCTGATACTGTTTTTCCCAATCATTTTAGAGTATCAAGATCTGAGCAACACGCTAGACCAGATCGATCGATGGATGACGAATTTAGAAAATCAGAACGATTCCCTTGTGGATAAGCTCCGGGATCTTCTCGAGTCAAACCGACAAATACGGGCCGAATTTCAGCAGGAAAACTCACAAGAAAAGAACAGCTGACACATTTAATGTCTTAATGGAACCACATTCCTCTGGTGCATTGCATTATATTAATATTGTGTATATCTTTCCGCGTAGATAGATGAAAACTATTTATATGTTCGTATTTTCCGTTTGTAAAATTTATAATTATGAACTGTTCGCATTTTTTCAATTAATTTATCAAAATTATGTATAGTTTGAATTTTCGTGCATGTAACAAATTGGCGAAAGAATTCCAGTTTTGGTTGTATATTACACATACAAAGACACTATTGAGGAGGTATCTTCAATTTGGACTAATTCATGGGCGAGCTCAGACCTCAAAGTCGTTGTATATGCTGAGTGGCAGGCGTAAAATCTTGCACTCTAAAAGCATTCTAGTGTTGTTTTCATTTTTTAACCGTTTTCATCTCGATTATCATAATTTGTCATTCTGGAGTACAAAATTTATTTGTGATATTTTAAAATAAACTGGTGTATTATTGACTTCTTTTTTTGGTTGGCAAAGGTGTTTTGATTTTCACATTGGTATCTGTAGATGCTGTAACGTCCGTAGTGTACTATGTTGAAAAGTAAATAGTATACATACATTTATTGAGTTCGAGGGAAACATGCGTTTTGTCGGACCCATGAACCAAACTCACGGCCTAATGGCCTCAGGCAGACAGTTTGGTTCGAGGGTCGACAAAACGCATTTTGCCCGAGAACATAGTCAGCAAATGTTTTGTTATTCCTTTCATTATATAATCTTTTTTTGGACATACATGTATCTGTTAAACACCAAGGAATTAAAATGAAATTAATCTCCGCCCATTCAGTCACGTAAGCGGTCCAACATCTCATCGACCGGTCCAACATTTCAGCTGTCAAACATCGATTTTTTTTATGCCCGTTCAATAAAATATTAGAAACGTTAGACTTTTTTTTAAAGGTTTCTATTTATTTCCAAAGGTCTTGGAAATAAATAGAAATTGAACAACTATTTGAACATCTAGTCTTTATTTCTTAAGTCACTAGATACAGGATATTTACAATACAAGGAATCCACCATGTCAACATGATAACAAAGGCATATCCGCCTGTGGTATAAACCTAATGGAGTTAAATCGGCTAGTGATTCCTTAATCCTGATTAAGTCAGAAAACAAGGTCACCCTCAGATGGACATTTGTAAGCCAGTAAAGCCCGTTTAAAGAACATATAAAGTATGATTTGTAAATTTAACATAATTTGGGCGAGCACATCTTTCTACCTGGTAAAATGTTTTAAATTTATTTCATATGCCAAATAAGGTGTGCATTGAAATCTACAGCATCACGAGATTCCTCACCACATAAATGACAGACAAACGGACGAACTGGGTCCGCATGAAGGGTCTTGTGAACAAGAAACATGGAGTAATTTCTGAAAAGAATACCACAGTTTTTACATTCATGAATTTGTTTTAAGGACTCGAGCTGAGAGAGAAGGGAATCTGTGTACGGCCCCTGCTCTGTCTGTACTTGTTTGGAGTCTTTGGCTACTACAGTTAGCTGTCCACTGTAGTCATGGTTACTCATACGATCGGATTCAACAGACATACGGTGAGACTTGGGACTGAAGCTAGAGGTATCGGGATCGGAACCTACGCTTCCTGCTGAAAATTCCACTCTCTCGCCATCCAGTTGTTCTTGCTTGACAACGATGCCATTCTCTGTGGCATGAAGAAGGGACGTCGGGTACACGGCTTCGTTGGTGCCATTATAGTTAGTTGTGGGAAACCCACTATCGTGGGACTCTGAGCTGTTGGGCCTTTCGTATTCTTTTCCTAACAGTCCAATATCTACCTCAGACATCACAGAGCGATCAAATCCGGAACTGCCTGGGACGGAGTGAGTGCTTGTAGAACTCTCCGACATCTGGTCGTCATAGCCAGCATCCTGATCAATCTCAACACTCTGACAAACTCCATGGATGGAGCTGTTAGCCTCGTGTGTTGCCAACGCGTTGGCGCCGTTGAATGTTGCTCCACACCTGTTGCATTTGTGCTCGTTAGATTTCTCATGGCAGCGCTCGTGCATGTTGCGTCGTCGACTGTTTGGAAACCTAAGGTTACAATATCGGCATTTATATGGTTTATCACCAGTGTGGGTTTTTACATGCATACGCAAGTCGTTCGCTGTTGAATATGCAGCCGAACATACAAGACATTGAAACGGTTTCTGGCCATTGTGAAACATCAAATGTTTCTTTAAAACGGCTTCAAAACCAAAAGAACGTCCACAAATATTACAGCTGTATGGTTTAGCACCATCATGGGTCTTCATGTGTTGACGGAAATCCTGCATGTCGTCAAACATTTTGCCGCAGTGACTGCATTCCATTGATACACTCTCCTCGACCCTGAGGTGAATCTTTTCGTGCTTCTTGCAGCTGCCATTGCTGTTAAACTTCTTTCCACAAATACTACAGGAAAAAGGCTTCTCCCCCGTGTGTATCCTCTCGTGCTCCCTCCGGTAGTAGATTCTAAAGATAGGAATGTGGACATTTTAATGACAAACGTGTATATTTGGCAAACCATCAACGTGTTAAAAATATGCTAGTTTTGAATTATTGTTTTCAGAAGAAGACCAATGGGGTTTGCTTGTTGAATCTGAAAAATCATGGCGGCGAAGTTTAAATTGGCTTCCAAGCCGCAGTACCGTACCCAATTTATCTAGAAATGCTAATGGCTGCTTGACATTCGTGCACTTTTAGCTATATAACCTAATAGTATTGTCTGGTAAAGAGTCATTGTATTTCTGTAGCTGATTTCATGGGAAATTAAAGCATCAATAATCGACAATGACACCAAAGATCCTACCAGCAATGGTGCATCGTAAAAGTTTGAACATGACATACAGCTATCGTTTTAAACAATGCACTCCTAATACCTTCTATTTAATGTGGTATTAAATAACGTTAACATTGGTATGTTTTAATTTTGGATTTCTTTGAACCTTTATGGCTTTATATTATATAAGAATTATTTCTAAGTACTAAGTAATAAATAATTCCTTTTCATTCAGTGAATCTCCAAGGTCCACGCATGATTCTAGTACAAGTAAATGCATTTGTCCATCGCCTTACTGAAATACATCCGCATGTATTCTTCTTCTATTAAAGTGCATTGAAATAATTTACTAAAACACCTATTATTCAGAATGTGAGTAGTTTTCCGATATGACTAAGCTGTTACCTTGTAAATATTTTGCCACAGTAACAGCATTGCAGGGGGTTATCAACAGGGGACTCAACTCTTTGGCCGCTGGCGTTATCTGCATTAGCTGCCTGGTTCATGACGAATGGGTACAACTGATACAAAAATAATATACTAAGTAAATCCTTCCGTTAAAAGACACCAATATTATTTTATTTCTTTAAGAGAAAGATGGTTACCAAATAAAAGAAAACAAAGAGATGGATACCATATACGAGAATACAAGAGAGAATTAATGTCTTCTAGCAAAATACACAGGAAAAATCCTATTATTTTTTATTCCAATGTGCCCCATTTCCGTGAAAGTACAAAAGAACAAAATAATGTTCTACTTCAGATCGACAGAGCGATTACAGTTCACACACACACGGCTGTCATGTCAAAAAGAATTTCCCGCAAAGAGACTAGCCAGCATTACATTCTCCAAGGGCTGATCAATGGCGGACGAAAATCGTCTGCTCGATCGCCAGCTAGTGCTTGGTAATATCCACAAGCACTGTTTATAATGGACAATGTTAACGACAGTTTTATTCGTCACTTTAAAAATATACGATTTAAGTACTGTAATACCTGAAAATTAGAATATTCAGCGAATGTTTAGAATATTATGAACAGGATTATGAACACTAAAACTTACCGATAACGTTCCTTTCAACTCGGCGCGGCGTTCTTGCCTGGGTGTTGTTCTCTAGCGAACGATAGCTAGATATGACGTGGCGGGATCTGTACTTCAGACCAGATGCATAATGAAGTATTGGAAAGGAATGAGAGATCGTTCGCTGGCCACAGAGCTTTGTGAAAGCTTCGAGGAGCCATACAAAACTGGGTCAATGAAACTGTCTAAATTTCTCCAGCCAGATGTTTTGTCGTCTGTAAAGACCAATTTGTGGTCGCCGAGTAAATCGCTCCCTGTAGGTTGTAAAGTAAAATTACTAGTGTAAGGTTACTTAACGAATTTGTGGGTTTAGCTGGAGTTACGAACAAGTACTCGCTGTTGCTCTAGTAAACAGGAAAGACATTAGTGTTTGCTGTACTGAATTTTTCCAGCTGTTTGGGGGGGTTGAGTGTTGTTAACCAAAAACATGTAACTTCCGGAAAAGCCCCTTTTTTTGAAATGGGACCGGATGTAACCATGCGTTTGCTATATTACATCAATTAAGATAGATAGATGTATATTGCAGATTGCAAGAACATCAAGAAAATAAACACCACAAAATGCTGATTTCTCAGTCGCGTAATAATTGCGAAATTAAATTAATTTGGATAAAATGAGCATAGTTTTGACATGTTAGGGGACGAGTTGCATTACCTAAAACTTTAATTTCCAGTTTTCATATAACGAATATAGTGCAACTGAAATTGCAGCTACTACACCGATGAAAGATTAATATTTTCTGCAGAAGATAGTGCAGTCTTGATCAGAAAACCATGATAACTAAAAAAACGTTCTGTGCAGTTAAAAATAATACTTGGTTCTCTAAACTGTTTCTCGCAGCAATGCTAATCACATCACATAACGTAGTGCCAAACACTCGGCGGGCATTCTTCACTTGCTGAATCGATAAAATGTCAATTTTCTCCAGCAAACCCGAGGAAGGCAAAAACAAAGAGCACTGGCGGAAAGATTGAAGGTTTCCTATTTATTGCTGAGAGGCCGTGTATAGAGCTCTGAGAGATATAACATTATTGGACATAGCTAGAATTTTGTGTGTTTTGATTTAGGTTCTATACAAGCAAGCTTTTTTAATTGTTTCGTTCGTCTTCATCGTGAAGCTCTTGCTTCATGTATTATACGTGTTTTCTGCGTTTAAAGGGAGTAATATTTTCACGTGCAAATACACTCGTTAAACGATCAATTCCTTGCCAAGTTCTGTCAACTGCTCTTTCTTTTCTTTTGGTGGATTAAATAAATACAGTACATACCGTCGCCAAATTACTGACATACACTGGCAAGCCTGCAGGTATTACAGATAACAGATTTTTTTTCTCATCAAAAGAATGCGACCAAATTTGATTTTTTTTTTTTTGCCTGCTGTATGATGTATGATTTCTACATTGGCTCATATTTATATTTATGAATGGCATATACAAGATTAGCTCAGTGACATGCAAAAACATTATTCCAAAAAAATGTATGCATGAGAACGGAAATTTCAATTAAAGTGATCGAGAGAGAATTAAATCGCTCAAATTGCTCTTCTTTACCAGAAACCTTTGAGGATGAAGGGCCGAAGTAGATATAGCTTCCTCAAAGATGTAAAGGATTCACGATCGAGAATTACTCATTTTACACCTTTGTTCATGTTTGCTGTAGACGAATGTTAGGCCTACATCAGATCCGCTCCCTCTCTACATATAAGGCACTTTGTAAGCAGATACTGCAGTGAATTTGACTGATTCGTTTCACTTCACAGGCAGTCAGTAATTTAAAGTGCGTGTCTTTATAGTTTCGGTTAATCGCAAGTATATATAAAATATTGGACCTATTCATCAATTAATCTTATCTACTAAACAAACTAGCGTATATAATAACCTTCTTAACGTTTAATGCTCTCGAGATCGACCCGAGTTGTTCTCTTCACCATAGTATCTGGTTTAACTCAATGGAGGGCCATCAAAACGGTGGACGAGTTGAGTGTAATCGCACACCTTATTCAAGAGGCGCCCATTTTTTTTGAAACCGAATAAAATCAAAATATATTACAAGAATGCCTCAACGAATTTTGGAATGACTTCAAGTGTAATAAATTGTCAATTGATAAGTCAGGTTTAAAGTTTAGAATTTATTGTAAGTCCAAAATATGAATTTCACAAATATAATTTAGAACAAATTTCGTAGATAGAACAAACTGAATTTTACAAAGAATTTCTTAAGATTTCACAAACTGAGTTTAACAAAGAATTGTCCAAAACTAAACAAACTGAATTTAACAAAGAATGGTCCAAAAACTGACTCACTTACAAACTCACTCACATCTAATCTTTGACAAATCCGCCCACTTTCGTACTGACCAGCCAATTAAATTAAGGATAGAAAATTGCAAGAACAGGGGAATCTGTATGACATTAATTTACAACACTGAAATTAGGTAGAGCTAAGCATAACAAATTCAAAGAACATGATCCTAAGATCTAACCATAAAGTTGATAACAAGTATGAGTAAATGACTTAAGGAATCACTGTCTAGTTTTGAGAGTATGCCAGGGCATCAACAATAGTGGGAAACATGGGATAATTTGCATAACGGGCGAAGCCCGTTATGCTAAAATTATCCCATGTTTCCCACTATTGTTGATGTCCCTGGCATACTCTCAAAACTAGACAGTGATTCCTTATATTTCCATTTCATTGTGAAATAAAATTGTAGACTTAGACATTAAGAATGTAGACTAATCGACTTAAATTACACGAGGACTTCCATGCCAATTTCAATAGTCCTCTCACACTGACGTCAAACACAAAGGCAGCCGCACGAGATTTACATGCATATTTGGCCTCCTTAGCGTCAGACACAGAGACAGATGCGCACGAGGTTTGCATGCGTATTAGGCCTCCTTAGCTGCTGACCTATCGACCTGCCTAATTTACATTCCGGCAGAATTATCAGGAAATCAACTCCGCTTACTTTCAAAGGGTTATTATAGAGAAAAAATTTAGAAATGGAAATATATTGATATCGTGAGGCAGGAAAGAGATGTCAAGAATTAAATATTGGTAACATGTGCAAAAATGCCTTTCCTAAACATCAAATGAAAACAATTAACTTTCAACTACAGATGTCAAACAAGACCGAAAAGTAATAAACAATTATATAAAAATATATTCATAATTAATAATTTGTCATTTAGAAACCCTTATAACCCATAATCATAACATCCGCCCACAGAAAAAAAAATTGTAAAAAAATTTTACATGGGGTTAATAAATGCAAATTAATGTTTAAAAAAATGAATAAAAATGAGGATTACACAAAACAAATAACCAAGTGTCACATACAATTTACAACATGAGTAAAAACTCAAACAATGTTCTCGTACTTGCGCTTTTCATTAAGCTGTACATTAGAAACAATTGTAAAAATAGGTATAACCCGTAATGACACAAATGATTGAAAAATAATACATGTATCCATCTATCATGTAAGTACCATGGTTTACAAAACAATTAGCATGAAGGAGACATTGATATACAGCAGCTAAAACAATTACTTAGATAAAGGATGACTTCGAAACAGCCACAATCAAAAAAGCTAGTAAACATTGCTCTCTCACAGAGTCGGTCACTCAGCTTAATTAAATTTAAATAACTAGAGCAAATTACCTTCTCGGACAAAAATGCTGTGAAACATAATTCACTCCAAATAGTAATGATCTCAAAATCCAATCATTTAAAATTAAACAAAAAATCTTTACAAGGCGCCACATTGAAAAAAAAATTCAAATATATAACAAGCATAAGAAAATTATACACAAATATTTACAAAAAGGGATCATGCCTCATATCAAGCATGTCATCGCTATATGCAACACTCATAACATTGTTACCGTACTGGCGCTTACTTTCAAGCTGTACATTATAACAAAGTTGCAAAATAAACGACATATGACATCATGATCAAAATACGTATCAAATCTAGGCATCATTACCATGATTACGCCCCAGATGTATACAAACTATCTCTCATAACAGCTACTTCACATTGGTAGCTCAGATTGTGACCAATACCCATTATTAATTAGCACTTGTAAGCTCTTGCAGTTAAATAACTTGAGCAAAATAGACACACTCGTACCTGTGCATAATTATAATGATATTAAAAACAAAACACACCAATAGCACATCGATATCGCAAATCATAATAAACAAAACGAAAACTACTTTCATGCAACGGTAAGGCATATACAGGTCTATGTGAAAAGTACTACAATAACTACCTTGTCGCATGCATTAACATATGTACATCTAAGAATCATGGCTTTGAAACAAAAAAAATTAACAGTCAATAAAGTGGGATGGGACAACTTCACAGACTTTGGCATGGCGTGAATTTACGAAAGAAACCTCTGCAGGTACGACCAGCTCTTGACTCCCAATGGCTCAACCTTCAGTATCAGAGGAACTCCTGTAGGTGATGAAAGACTTCCGAAAATTATGGTTTTCATATGTAGGTTTAGAAAAGGGTTGGATGGATAGTCATTTTTAAGAACGGAGAACGTTTCGGTGCTGGGTCCATTGGTACAATTTGCATGATCCTGCTGTAAATCCTCATCAATGGAACGAAACGAAAAGTGCGAGGATAGGGGGACATGCATATCGACCACGACTGAGCACAGGAATTCAGCAAATGGTTGGGTAGTCATCTTTAAGAACGGAGAAAGTTTCGGAGCCAGAGCCTGGTCTATTGGTACATTTTCCTTGTGTGGTCCTGCTGGAAATCCTCATCCACGGAACGAAAGGAAAAGAACGTGGATAGTGGGACATACATACCGAACATGACTGAGCACATAAGTTCAGCAAATGGGGATTGTAGCTCTTCTGTAACACTGAATTTTACATTTTTCCATGAATTTCTGCAACACTATAAATTGGTAAAATCCCCGAGAATCAAATACTCCAATTAAGATAGTAAGCGATGTTGAGTTGGTTTATGTCCAAAGTTTCCTGACATTTTCAGAAATAGTCTAATAAGGTGAATTAAATCCAAAATGTTCAAAGTTGTTCACCAGAATAGTCCAAAAATAGTTTAGATTCTCCACCATGTAATAAATTGTCAATTGATAAGTCAGGTTTAAAGTTTAGAATTTATTGTAAGTCCAAAATATGAATTTCACAAATATAATTTAGAACAAATTTCGTAGATAGAACAAACTGAATTTTACAAAGAATTTCTTAAGATTTCACAAACTGAGTTTAACAAAGAATTGTCCAAAACTAAACAAACTG